TATCTTTCAGGTAGAACCCCAGCCTGTGTTTTTATTTCTGAAGATGTCCACCTCTGGAGTTCCGCTGAAAAACCAGCGTCCCAGATGAAGCCTCTTGTTCCTCTGCCCCCCAACTCCTCTGTTCAGGTTGCGGGACTGAAGGTCTGAGACCACCATGTTCTTTCGTCTGGGTTATTCCTTGAAGACCCAAGCAACCTGCAAGAGCGTGCAAACGTAGCAGATCCGATTCCATGCCGTGATGTTAGTCCTTCCTTCTTAAGGCATAGAGCTGGTGATGTTTTAATCCTGACATTAGTGACTGTTAATTATGAGGCCAGAAAAAGAGGTCTTGACCAGCTGGAATACCTGGGATTCAGATGTTCTCAGGGGTAATCCTTCTGCTGTTCTGCTAACTGGACCCTGCCCGTTGCTGTCAAGAGTTAAGCTCCTCTTCTGCTTTTCTTCAGTAGCTTTATTTTCACCATCTGCCAATCCCAGCAATACACCACGTATTTATGACAGCGCTGCTCAGTTTCTCCACTTCAACCAGCTGAATCTTCCAACTATGGAGAAATCTCCAATTCTTCTTTAGTCACACTTGATTTTTTACTATGGAAAAACTGTAATTGCCCAACAGCTAGGCCTTCAGACCATTTAGCTAAGATTGGTGCACAGATGGGCACAGGTATATATTTCCTTCCACAGTTTTCATCCTTTAGAAAGATGTTCTTCTCAGAAGTTACTCTCAAGTTCCACAATCTTTCACCAATGATCTTGAAGATAGAAGTTGGATACCCAAATGTGTGACCCAGCAAGCGATCAGACAAATGAAGATGCAGAGGAGGAAACTAAAAAAGAAGTTCAGAAGGTAGGTGGGGTGGAAGTCTGTTTCATGCAATCATGCCAGGGAAAAGTTTGTCTCCGAGGACCATGTTTTCAGGAAAAGAATGGGAACTGAGGAACCTAAGAAGAAGAAGAGCATAAAACTGGGACACACAGAGCAGTTCTCTTCAAATCCTCCAGAAAGCATCTCCAGTTGCTCTTCAGGGAAAGGAGAGGCGTCGAACTCCTCTATGTTCATCAGAAAATCCTCAGAAACTCAACACTTCAGCCCTTCTGCATAGCCAAGAAGTGGAACCCAGAAGCAAGGAGGAGCCTGAATTACAGCAGAACCTTTAAGAGAGAGCACTGGATGGTAAGAGAAGGGTTCTTGAGTGAGCAGCTTCTTCATTCTGTTTTTTGTCTGTCTGCTTGCTGCCTTACACGTAGAAATCCTCCAAGATCAAGTTTTCAAGATCAACCAAAGAGACTAGGAATTATTTATTTATTTTTTTGAAAAGACTGGATGCTGATACCTCGATTTCAATATATTTTGTTGCTTCTAAATCTGTTTTTAGTAATGCTTTTACCTAACATTTTTAGTATAATAGTACTAAGTCTTCTTCCTATTAGAATAATTTATTGTTTTTAGCTTTGAGGGGTTTTTTTTATGATGTAACTAAGTCTTCTTCCTATTAGAATAATTTACTGTTTTTAGCTTTGAGGGGTTTTTTTATGATGTAAGCTGCACTCATTTGACACGCTAGCAAGGTTATGCTCAAAATCCTCCAAGGTAGGCTTCAGCAGTATGTGGACCGAGAACTTCCAGAAGTACAAGCTGGATTTCGAAGGGGCAGAGGAACTCAAGATCAAATTGATAACATCCTCTGGATTATAGAGAAAGCCAGAGTTTTCCAGAAAAATATCTACTTCTGCTTCATTGACTATGCAAAAGCCTTTGACTATGTGGACCACAGCAAACTATGGCAAGTCCTTAAAGAAATGGGAGTGCCTGACCACCTTATATATCTCCTGAGAAACCTTTACATGGGACAGGAAGCAACAGTTAGAACTGGATATGGAACAACTGATTGGTTCAAAATTAGGAAAGGAGTATGACAAGGCTGTATATTGTCTCCCTGCTTATTTAACTTATATGCAGAATACATCATGCAAAAGGCTGAACTGGATGAAACCCAACCCGGAATTAAGATTGCCGGAATAAATTACCCTGGTGCCTCTCTGAAATACATGAGTCGAAAAGAAAAAACAAACCAGAATTAAGATTGCCGGAATAAATTACCTTGGTACCTCTCTGAAATACATGAGTCCAAAAGAAAAAGGGTAAACATATGATGCCAATTGACCTTGAAGGAAGAACAAGCATGATGCTGGATTCAGTTAACAGGCTGGGAGAATCTGCACAGCAGTGCTAAAGCAGGTATGATTTGATCTGTTCCTCATAGAGGAAATTACTGAGACTACTAAACTAAACAAAACAAAAAACACTGACCTCCACACATGAAAGTGGCAAGTAGGTATGACAAATAAGTAGATACTGGAACACATAAATAACATCCAGAGTTCAGGCTGCTGTGTCATAAGCTATAGTACTAAACAATTGTGTTTGAAATTGACCCCACCTCAACTTTGTTCACATTTCAATTTATCTTGTGACAGTTCCGCACTGGTGGTTCTTCAGCACACCTAAGAACCTTATTTTTTTTTCCCACCTCTTTTACAAACCTGAATTGCATTTCCCTTCAGAAACCTCTATTTGCAATTTTCTCTCCGGAAAATACTGTTCTGCCATCGATTTTAACACACACTATATGCTAACTTTGTTTGCTGAACGAACAGAAAAATAAAAATCGTAACAAATCATTAGTACGTCCATGCAGCCCCTCTGTACAGCACATATCCCAGCACACAATCCTTGAGAAATGTTAATGCCCAGCAAAGAAACCAAAGGATAATTGATGATATAATAAATCACACTCCTCAAAAAAGATTACATGAGCACCAATCCCATGCAGCCCAGGAGCTCTCTGCAAGACGCTCTTTTCTCTCAGCATTTATTACATAACTGATGCCAAAGAACTGTAAGCAGCAGCACAGCCACTGGCATTATCTAACCACACTGTTCCTACGAAAGACGCACGCAGGCATAGTCTCTGCCCAGTTCTAGATAAAGTGGTTTCCCAGGATTCCTAGCACTCAGAGGGAGAAATTAACCACAAAACACAACCAGCTCAAAAGAAAAGCATATAGAATTACAATTCTTGCCACGTCACTCAGAGCTACTTCAACATTTTAGAATGATTTTTTTAAAAAAAGATGCTTCTCAAGACTTCTACATCATATGAGGCATTTTGACAAATTAAAAAAAAAGCTACTGATGGAAATGCTTTCCAGTCCTCCAAAATGAGCAGAAAATTAATTGCTAAGGTTCTTTCTGTTTTTAAGGCACAGGTCGCAGGGCTCAGTCCTTGTAGAAACAGACTAAACTGAAGCAATGTTCACGTTAAGAATGAGACCCTGTGCAATATGTGCCAGTGCACTGCTCTAATTATATTTTCATTTATTTCTGAGACAAGTCACTCTTAGCCACCAGCTCTGTGAAATCTTTACAATTACAGAATCTGCATATCTCATCAGCAAGTCTCCCCCTCTGAAATGAATCCTACTTTCCAGTGAACACAAAACTTAACAGGAGGACCTCTCCCCGTTTCACATGCCAACACCCACCCCCAATAGACTCATATGAGTCATCATCTTGTATATATACATGACAAACAGGAAGACTTTTAAAATCAACTTATTGGAAATAAATTCTTGACATTTCAGACTAAAATAAAGCTGTCACGTGTGCACACCTGCTGTAACTCAGCTTCACTTAGGTACCAGATTAATTTTAAATACATTTGAAGTTGGCAGAGTAAGGAGAACAACTCATCACCAGACACTGCCCTGAAAGCCATTCTCTTACACCCCTCAATTACCTCTTTAAATCTGTCCTATACTCAGCTGTTGCACCTGCAGATTCTTCCTGTCTCTGTGCGTAAGCGCAACATCCTCCTCACAAGCTTTCCCCAAAACAAGTCCAACTACTCATCTCTTCTACCCAGACCTCCCAAAGGGGAAAGATGGGGGAAAACAGGGTGGCGGCAGCAGTGAACTCAGTGCTTCCAATTCCAGCTTCCTCACACTATACACCCCCTCCATTTTCACCTACTCCTACTCTACCAAACCAAAGACGACTGATACCTTTATTAAATTATTATTTATTTAATTATTATTAAATCCTGACTTATGGTAACCCTTTTCTGGGTTTTCTAAGGTCGTACTCAGAAACAGTTTCCTATTTCCTTCTTCCCAGGGTGCCCTGGGACTGTGCCACTTGCCCCAAAGCCACACAGGCTGGCTCTTCTGGAGGCACAGTATTAAACTCCCAATCTTTGACTCTGCCGCTAGAGACCTCAACCCCAACCTTTATCAGCTCCGCAGCCAGAGGGCGAGAGTTCGATTCCCCACTGGGAGAAGAGCCAGCCTGGGCAGCCTTGAACAAGCTGTCCAGTCCCAAAGCTGCGCAGCAGGGAATGGGCAAACCACTTCTGAACATCCTCTACTCCTAAAACCCTGAAAAGGGATCGTCGTTTCAGAATTGACTTGACAGCACACGATTATCACTTCTTAAAAAAAAAACAACTCACATGCATAAGGTAGTATCCCTCCCTTTCCTGGCACGAATCCCACTGCTCCCCTTCCCTAATCTCTCACCCTCAGCGCCTCCTTGCCCTCCCTTTCCTAATCTCTCACCCTCAGCCCACTTTGCCTCCCTCCCTCCTGCCCCTCTCAAATCTCCTGCTTTCACGCCCCCTTAACGCCCCCAAATTTCTCTCTCTCTCTCTCTTTTACTCCTTCCTCCTTCAGCCCCTTGGCGGGTAGAGTCCTAACCCCTTTTTACACGCTTTTCTTACACTCTTCCTTTCCCTGCCCTCCATCCTCACGACCTGTAAGGGAAGGAAGAAAAGCTCCCCAGTTCCCTCCGAAGTGGACACCCCTCCTCTGGACCCCAACCCTACCTTAACCCCGCTTCCAGGGCGAGGGAAGGGAGCTTCCCTTAGCCCCTTACTCTCTCCACCGCCCCTGTCACTCGCCTGCCTGGCCCATCCCCGGGGGAACCGACTTCCGCCTCTTACCTCGAGAGAAGACCCCTCCGTCTCTTCAAGCGCTCCAGCCGACTGAATCCGCCGAAGGGCGCTTCCCTTCCAGCAACCATGCATCGGTCCGCGTGAGCTGCGCGCCGGACGCCACGCCCCCGACTCCCGCTTTACTCCAATCCCCGCAGCGGAGGCAGCTCTCCCCGCCCTCCATTGGCCCGCCTCCTAAATACGTCAACCCCAGGCCTCCGTCTCATTGGCCAGCCGGCGCCGCAACACGCAGGAGGCCGCGTGAGGCCGAGGCCGAGGTGGGGCAGCCTCCTCCAGCAGGACCAGGAGATGCTTCTCCGCCTCCTTCCGGCCCCGATTGGGTTGCTCCGCAGCAGCATGCAGGGGTCCGCGTGCTGTGGCCACGCCTTATCCCGTCGGTCATTGGCTGCGGACGCAGAACCCGCTTCCCATTGGTTCACGAAGACTCGGCCTGCTGAAGGAGGGAATCCATGTGCCGAGCGGGCTCACGCGGCCGCTGCTGCTGTGGTTGTTTACACTCCGCCGGGGACAAGGGGGCGTGGCCAGGGCGGGGCGAAGCCAATAAGTCGTCAGCCGTTGACGCCATGGGAGTTGTGGGCGGGAAAAAAAAATCTGAGGGAGCAGTGAGAGAGAAGGCGGAAGCTTTATGAGGAGATTTTTAAACTTTATTTTAATTTTTTTTCAAGACTGAGGGGCCGCCCCCTTTAAAGAGCCTGATGTATTTATTTGACAGTTGCAAATTTATGCTGGTTTCCCTCACTTTTTCTCCCTCGTAAAAACCCTGTGAGGTACAACAGGCTGAGTGAAAGAGAGAGAGAGAACCAGGACATCCAATACTGTAATCTCACGAAAGAAACGTAGTAGAACAGAATATGATTTTTTTCCGTTACTGTTTTGCAACACAACCAATCTTAGCTCATTTTTTTAAATACTAATAAAATGATTAAAATAAAAGTCCGACTACTAGGAGAGAGACACAAATCAGATGAGGGGAATCAATCCTATATGGAAAAAAAAGAATGCAGGGAGCTAACGTTATTCCTCAATTCCTTACATGACGTGCAAAGTACCAACTCAAATTCATTATTTTATACTGTATTTAATATTACAGCAGGATTTTACCCTGTTTTTCCCTGGCTGATTTCTTCGTCATTAATTCCTGAAATTATAGACAATGCCAGCTGGCTTTTGTTCAAGAATACACGCTGGTGCATTTTATGGGGCCTGTGGGACCACCTGGAAGGCTTTTGCAAGAATTGAAAGAATCAAGTTCCTAGTCCTTGTGGCAGTGAAAGAAAATTCCAAGCCAAGAAGAATCCAATGATGCATCAGAAATATGTAGTTGCTCATGACTGTGCTCAGCTATGCACTCTGATGGGCAAGAAGGCAAGGGATTTACTATTTTTAATGTTTGGATCTCTCTCATTTTGGAGAAAGTTTCCTCTGCAAGATTTATACACTTCCTAGTCCATGATCTCTTGATCTGGCAGAAAACGGAAGCAAAGCTACAATCAGGCCCATAGCTTGATCAGATAACACGTTGAACTCCTCCCAGTTACCCATGGCATTGGGTGTTTAAGAGATGCACGCCATTGCTAGTGCAGGGGCAGGCTTATGTCCGCAATTAGCAAGATCTCCGTGCTGTAGGACAAATCACAACACAGAAAAGATAGGTCAGGAGGTGAGGACATTTTGTTCTTGTCTAACTGGAATTATTAATAGCAGGGCTCCAGGCCTTAGTCGTTCCCTTCCAACTGCCCCAGCTGGAAAACCAGTTTTCTTGCACTGCTATAATTGGATGAAGCCTCAGTGACGCTTCTCTGCTCTTTCACTTTTCACAGGAAGAGGACAGAAAATAAGAAAGATCACTCCACACAACAGAGACAGATATTATCCCCTTTTCTGTTGTTGGTACAGAACAATAACCATTTTGACTGTCTCCACTTTGGACTGAATGGAGATAATGCTTTCCCGTCCAGCTGCAGGTGGTAAGATACACCCACCAAAGCAGTCTTTTGACTTTCAAACTTAAGCCTGGAGTTGCGTATTTGACAGCTCAAATTGCACCAAGCAAACTGATGCAAGTTAACAAGTCTCCACATGTATCCTTACTGTACACCAGTTGTGAGTTTGTATCAACAAGGGATACAAAGCAGCAAAGTTTTCACCGAGATTGATGCCATTGCATTTATGCCTGGATAAACTAATCTATAGGTTTTGACCAAAGTTCATATTATTTTTAAAAGGAGTCAAAGCCCTGTGCTAAAAGGCAAAACCAGCCAAGTCATCAAACAATTCCTGTCCCAAAAGTAGGACTCTCCTTCGACTTATTTTGCACATCACACCCAGATATTAAAACTAGTGCAGTAGCTTTTGGTGGATGCTGCCCAAGGTTGCCCAGTCATCAGCTTCCTATTCCAGATATATTGTATATGTCTGTGTGTATTTCCTCCAGCAGCTGCTGCTGCTCTAGAACATACAAGATGATGGAAAATAATGCTTTTGTGCATGTCTAATTGGCATGCCCTGATGGCCATGAAATCGTAGAATAATTGAGTTGGAAGGAACCTGTAAGGGCAACCCCCTTGCTCAATGCAGGAATCCAAATCAAAGCATATCTGACAGATGGTTGTCCAATTTTCTCTTGAATGCCTCCAGTGTTGGAGCACTCACCACCTCCCGGGATCATGAGTCCCACTGTTGTACTGCTCTAACTCAAACCCGCAAGTCTTAATGCCAACATCAGACATGGCAGTCACACGGCTGGTGACATTTTGATGCTTTACTCTTAAACAATCTAGGTGGGGCAGGGGAAGGATTTATTGACAAACTGTTGGCTTTAAAAATTATATATTTTAAAAAATGCTACATCTCAGATTCTTGGGGTACTCAGCCTATTCCACATTCTAATTGCAAGCAAGACCAGCCTAAGACATTCCGAGTAGACATGGTCTAGAGGGGCGGGGTATAAATTTAATAAATAAATAAATAAATTCTGCTGCCCAGGCGAAAGGCAAGGTAGCAGCCTTGCATAAAAGTCAAACTAACAATTTGTATCCCGCTCCCATTAGTGTCAACAGCACTACAACTATGGGCTCTCGCTTTAACAGCATCCACACCTCAAGCCAGCCGGCTAGCTTAAGGGTGAAAGGTGAATCTTGGGGCTCATACACAGCTTTTGCCTGTGTTGCTTCTCAGTCCCCCAATTTTTATCCCTTAAATACTGAAGCACTGTAAAACCTGCCTTCTATTAGTGATTGGGTCAATGTATTATTGCTCAACCCAAACTGTTAACGAAGGTCATGAGTCTTCAAAATTAAAAAAAAAAGACCTTGTAATTTAAGCATCTTTATTTGTCATACCTGTAATTTGCAAAAGCTAGAAAAGGACATTGACTTCCTCTGCGGCAATTTGTGTGAACCATGTGGTATTCTCTATTCAGCATGAAAAACCCCATTTTATGCACCCAAGATCCCATTTTATGCAGTTATGTTAGTTACCCCAGTAAAGGCATTACACTGATGTAGATTCTGAAATGCTAATTTTTGTTTTCTCTTGCTTCCCCAGCATCAAATTTTAGGTAGCAAAAAGGCTTGGGGTAAGTAACAATATCCTAATTATTCCACCAGTCCTTGGTTGTCAGCTCATCAGGAATAAAAACATTGACATCATTTCCTGGCACATGCTCAAGATTTCAGTTTAGCAGTTATGTGGGGAAGTGGGTTAAACTGATGCTGTTTTGCAAGAAAAGAATTCCAGTTCTGCCAGAAAGGATTGAAGCTCAGTGGAATCTAAAGCGCAAGAGTGTGTGTATATAATAAAGTCCCTCAAATTAGAACAGATTGGGCTCAGATTAATGAGTAGTCTTGAACCTGGACCCTTAAATGGTTTCTGTAATCAGTTTGTAAAAGATTGCTTCAAGGTTAGTGAGCACCAGCTAAGGCTTTATTTATGTAGCACTGAGAGTTACATACCGTAAAACCACCACCCCTTAAAGAAAAAGGCTTAACGAAGGTGTTGGAATCTCAAGACATAAGCAATCTGATGATTTTGGTCCAAAGCAGTTGGTTCTCTCCTGTATGAAAAATGAACTGCTTTGATAAATAACAAGACGTTTGGCTAGAAGCAAAAGTAAAATAAAAAAACCCAATATACATTACTACTCAAACACATAAGAAGCCCAAAGCCACTCCAGTGATAATGGATTCTGGAATACCTGATACAATCTTGAATTGTTGGAAATGTAATAAACAAACATTTGGACCCCCCCTACCAAAATTCAGACAAACTTCTACGGATCTGAGTGGGGCTATGTGATGGATTACCCACTCCCATTATCCCCAGTCATGACGCAGGCTGTAGTCTAACCTAACTGGAGGACACCTCGTTTGGGAAGCTGGGTTAGAGGGGGAAATATTTTAAGGCAGAAGAGAATAAACAAGAAAACCTTGATGTTTACAGCAAATCTAGTCACCGTCTCTTAATGGAGTTATAGATGCTTGTTTTTGGTTTGGTTTCCCCTTTGTTTCTGGGTGATCCCCATGGAAAACATCCTTTCCAAACCTGGAGGACATGAACAGCAGTCCTTACTCCAACTGCATTCATCCACTAGATAGGATGCTTTGCAAACTTTTTGTGGTGTTGTTACTTTCGCAAAAACCCAAGATCTGATTGGTATCTTAATGTGTAACTATCCGATGCCCTACTTTTAAACACAGAATAGACCTGTAATTCTAGACTGCCATCTGAATAAAACTTAAAATACTTTCAGAATTAATCTACTTTAATAAACTCAGCAAACAGAATGCGCATTCACGCGTAATCCATTTGTTAAACTCTTAAAAACAAGAATTTAAAAACTGAAACGGAAGTACCGTCTAGCCCTTCCCAGTGAAAAAGCTCTTTTAAGATACAGAAATCTGATGTCACTTCCTAGACTTAAGATAATTAATGGTGCCAATCACTAAATAAATTATGAC